CTTCATATCTTCTAGAAACTCAGTAGCTGTTGCTTCCCTAGAATGTTGACTTGTTCTAGTTTCCATCAATTGCCTCTGGTTCTAAATTTATTAGATTACTTTTCTCTGTATATTTTCTTCAATTTCATTGCTGTTTCTCCATAAGAGTCATAGTTTATTTTTCAAGAGAGATTTGAACAGCTCAGCCCTTTGCCTCATATCCATGATCAATATCTGTGCAGTCTACAGGATTGTTATCCTGAAATTAGGTGCCAGCCTATGACCTAAATGTTGGTAAAAGGAAGAAAATGATCCTAAATGTAGGCCTCAGTGAACCTCTTTTTAGCGTGAACTATGAGTAGTGTCTGTTATAGTTTATGCATATAACAATAATTATGATTAACTTCTTAGTACACCAAGAAATAAGATGAATAAGATGCACTTCCTCTTGTGAAAAGGTTCATACAGAGCAGATCATGCAATATGACAGCTACTGTTTGATTGTATGGACGCAATACTTCTAAAACACTGAAGACTTAATTTCCTAGATAGAGGGAGTGGGGCAGGTTTCAAGTGTGAACTGACATTTCCTTAGGCTTGCTGATATTCCTCAGAGACAGCAGAGCAGAGAAAGGAATGGGACAAGGACCACAAGGCAGATTCAGATGTGAGCAAAACTGTAAAGCTATGAAGATGAAAAGTATGACCAGGAGATGGATCTGATGACGATATGGGGTAACATAGGCTATAGTAGAGGGCTATTACAGTTGAGTGAATTATACGTAACCAGTCTATGGAGGTTTTTGGATAAGTGAATCTGTGATAAGAAATTTGGATTGTAGAATTAAAATTCTATAAAATGTTATCAGAAAGTGAGGGACTAATCACTTATGCATTTCAGAGAGAAATGTGTTTGTAGTAAGGAGAATGGCTTTGAGTAAATAAGGAATAGAATTAGAAAAATGAAAGGTCATTAAAATAGCTTTGTTAAAATATAATAAGTTCCCAAACTCAAAAGTTAAAAAAGACTGTTTCAAAGATGAACTAACTGATGAAATGATTCATAAGGTTAAGGGTAATTTTATATACTGATAGCCCAATTATATTCTAAAGAAAAATGCCTCAGAAAAAATACAATTAAAAAAAGAAATAAATATCATTTATTTCTGTAATCTTTAGTTATATATGAAGATTTAAAAATAGTGATTTTTCTTTATATAGCTAAAATGCTAGGAATGTAACATTAGATAAAGTTTTCTTCTGTCATAAAACTAAATATCAGGAGAGTTAAGTAGGATAAAATTTTCTCATCCTGTGCCATGCTGAAGCAGATGAATTGGATCAACAGCAGAACTGAAAATTTTCTTACAAAACATAGCCATGTGACAATATATTCATGATGCTATATCCCCACTGAGGGTTCTATACCAGTATTTTAAAAGTATGTTTCTCTATGAAAGTATAATTTCAGCACAATCACATGAGTACACATTTATCCAGTTGCAGGGACAATGAAGCACTTGAGACCAGAGCCTTGGCAGTGTGCACAAATGTACTTGGTGAATAAATAAGTAAATCAAACTCAAAAGCACAAGTCAAGGAATATTGTACAGCAGTTATTTCTAAAAGTAATGTGGGTTTCCTTTAAAATTTAATATGTTCCTCTTTCATAAAGCAAGAAATAAGATAATATCAATGTAATATTTTTATGTTACCAATTTCTCTCATTCTCAAGCTCCAAAATATCTTGAAAAGTCATTTAAGTAAGATAAAGTTTTTAGGTTAGTGAGTAGAAAAATGTTCTTTTCACAGTTGCCATTATATTTTGGTGAAATCTGAATCCTGTGTCCAACATTCTGCTACACCAGTGATTCCTATTTTCCAAATTCAAAGACTGTTTTTACTCCCATTTATTCTTGACTCTCCTACAATTGATCTTTTGAAAGGAATTTTCCTCTTCATTTTGACTCTGCAATACCTAGTGTTCTAGTTTCTTTACATTTCCTTTTTGACCTTTTTCGCTTCTACTTTATCCTTTCCTCCTATATGTTGGCACTTTCCAAGTTGTTTTCCCTCCTCCCATTTTCTGTTATCTTCTATGGCTTTCTTCCAATTCTGTTATCTTGCCTCTATTGCCTTTTAGCTAGACTTGAGGCTAGGCTCTGTCTCACTTCTAGTTCTTTGCATATGTTACTGCCTCTTCTCCAAACATTATCACCTTTTTCAGATTTCAGTCTTTGAGACATTTCCTTATGGAACTGGGTCCCACGCCCATAAGTTCTAAGGCATCTTTTGCCTTCCTTTATAATAGACCTCATGTTGTGGCATTTATTATGTAATGCAGTGGTTCTCAGAGTGGGAGTTTCAGATCAGTGGCATCACAATCACCTGGTAACTTGTTAGCAATACAAATGTTCAGGCCCCAGGGCACTTTAATTGAATCAGGAACTGTAGGGTGTGACTCAGAAATCTGTGTTTTAACAAATCTACCAGATGATTCTGATATTGGTTAAAGTCTGTGAATTGCTGATATATTGTAATTACCTGGCTTTTGGCAAATTCCCTTACTATATTATGGTCTAGTGTAGAAACTACAATAAAATCCAGTGTAGAATTTGACAATTGTTGCTATAGTGCATGCAACAATGCATGAACAAATAATGAGAAAATGAATGACAACATTTTATGAGCGCAATTCCATGTCTCTAGTTTCCCACTATGTAATTTGTATGCAGAACCAAGAAGAGTCACTTCTGTGTCAACCTCTGTAGTAGCAAAGCTGACATTCATACCCCTCATCAACACTATCTGCTAAAACAATTGCACATGTCTGCCTCTGCAACCCCGACTGACTTTTTAACCTCCAACCTCTCCTTTTTTATCGGTATTATAATCATTTTACTGCTAATGGAATAGCTTTAGTAATCATCTTTCTTGAAGAATGACTTCATTTATTCTGAGTATGCAACTAAAGTATATTCACCATAGAAAATCTGAAAAAAAATCAGTTACATACAAAATGAAATAAACAGTACAGGAAATTCCTCTATTCTAGGAGAGCATTGTTGATTGTTTCAGTATCTAACTTATATTTGTAGCATTTTTTTTTAAGATTTATTTATTTATTTATACAAGCACTGGGTACAGTCAGAAGCGCGGGAGGGTGAGAGAATTCACCAGAGCCGGAGTGGAGAGCAGAACAGGCAAACTGACGAAGTACACTGCTGTGGGGAGCAGCGGGAGGCAGAAGAGGTCTGCGCGCCATGTGGGACCCTCGCCCGGTGGCCGGGTAACGAACCGGCGCTGCAGAGGCTGCGGGCAGCTTCGCAATGCAACCCAGCACTCAATTGCTGTGCCACCGGGGAGGCCCTATTTGTAGCATTTTGCATGCATTTTGTATATAAAAATAGAATCCTACAAACACAATGTTTTACAATCTACTACTATTGCATGATTGTGATTGTATTTCTATGTCCCTAAATGTTGTTTTCCACTGATTTCCTAATGACTGCATGATTTCCCAATGACTGCAATAATTGACCTATCCTGATCTTCTTTTAATAAATTGAAAGTCCTGTTGAAAACCTTTTCATTTCCTCCTCTATTGCAATCCAGGCTTTTTCTTATTCCTTTAACCTATTGAAGTAGGCTCTGATGCCAAATTAATTTTTCTATTTTTTTAATGGCCCAGAACTAGGGGCAAATTGCTCAGAAGTCAAAATGACTCTCTGGTTTCTTCCAAATAATGTCACAGGCCTCAACAGGATATTCAAGTGCTCCTGTTAATATTTTTATATACCCAGCCATCAGGTGAGATTGCTCACTTGCTCACAGAATTCGCCCTATTTTCTTACCTTTTGAGTCATGCCTCTTCTCTGTCCCTATATTCTATCCCTCTAGAGATTTTATTCAAATGTCCACTTTATTGTGAAGCCTTCCTAAAATTGCAAACTTTACAACTCTCACCTCTATGCCACTTCTTACTCTCCTCCCCTGCTCTATTTTTCTGTTCTTCTAGCCATCTGATAGACCATATATTTTACATATTTAGCTTTCTAATTGTCTTCCCCAACTGAAATACAAGCTCCATGAAGGTTTTTGCCTGTGTCTGTATGTGGTCCATTGTCATATCCTAAAACATGGAATAATGCTTGATACACAAAAGATACTTAGAATATTTTTGAAATATTGATGGTTGAGTACATTAACTAGTTATTTACCTAGTCAACTTGTTGATCAATTAATTATGACTTTCCTGGTGAAGTTGTACAAATCTTCAAAGATATTAAAGTTCTATTTCAGTGATTTTTGCAGGTGGGCATTTACTACTCAGTTGTGCAATGTGAATCTAAATGACCAATTAAAATGGTACTCTAGGGCCTCCCTGGTGGTGCAGTGGTTGAGCACTGGGTTGCGAAGCTGCCTGCAGTGCTGGTTCGATCCCTGGCCACCGTGTGAGGGTTCCACATGGCACGCAGACCTCTTCTGCCTCCCACTGCTCCTCTCAGCAGTGTATTTCGTCAGTCTGTCTGCTCTGACTCGTGAATTCGCTCACCCTCCCACACTTCTGACTGTACCCAGTGCTTATATAAATAAATAAATAAATCTTAAAAAAAAGTAATAAAATGTTACTCTACCCTTCTGCTAAAAATGATCTCTCTGTTCTCAAAATCCTATTGACCATTATTTGTATATATGGTACATACTACATATTAATTTGAATCATAGTTATATGTTGTCCATATGCTGAGAAATATACAAACTTCTTAAAGACATATGCCAATGATGTTTATATCATTTGCAATCTTAGTACACTGACACTCCATTCATAGGTGTAACATTGAATTATTTCCAAAAATAAAATTAATATCAAAAGCAAAGTGGGAGTTACATGTGACACCATTTTTCCTTTTTCTCTGTTGTTAAAGATAAAATTATCTAATTTTTTAAAAACGAACTTTTGCCATCTGCACAACGGTAACTATTCCCAAGAAATAACTGAACATCCTATATCTTTGCAGATTATAAATGCTGCACTTGCTTTGGCTTCAAGACCCAAAAGTCAAGTGGTCAAAAAAACCATGGAAATGTACAAGCACACATGGGAGAATCATATCCATGTCCTCACTGAAGCTGTAGATGACATTACAAGCATTGATGACTTCCTTGCTGTGTCTGGTATGTTTTTGATATTTTTAACTTATACATTTGCTCTTGTCAATTTTCTAAAATAAGATAATACCAAAATTAATGTTACGTGATATAATGGGACTCTTTTTATTGGTAGTCTTTCTGAGAGCAAAGTACTACTATATAAGACCTATTGATACTTTGGATAATAAATCTCATGCCTTATAATCCTTACCCCATACCAATCTACACTGTATCCCTAAAGAAATTCCTATTCATGGTCAAAGTATAGTTGAAAACAGTAAGCATTTCTGATTTTTCAAATAATTCATTATTTCCTTCCTTTTAATGTACTCACATATTTTGAGTTCCTTGCACTTATTTTCCAATTGAATTTCTCTCAACACAGAATGCATATATAAAATGTAAGTAATATATATGCTAATGGGAAGCTCTTCATTTATTTCAGATATAGTACATATTTCAACTACCAATATGTGTATATTGAATACTTTAATAATGTTGATATAAAGAATCAAATAAACAAGTTTAAGTATCAAACTACATCATTAAGATGAGAGCCTGAAATTTCATGTCAAGCTCAGATGATTCTCTCCTTACGGATTAGAATGACATATCACAGGATTGTGAAATTACTCTTATAAGGATACACTCTTTGAAGAATAACTCAGGATTTGATAGTATTTGATTATACTATTGTAACAACAAGAAACTAGATACTTGTTGACAATATTTAGTCTCGAGAGATGGAGACTTAGTTTCCTGGGATTTTTTTATATAAAATATAAATTTTCATTAATTTCTAATATTATTTTATCTTTTTAAAGTTTCCTGATGTGTCTTGTCTAACCTGTTGGATTCATTACTTTAAAATATGTATGCATTTTTATCCTGAACAATAGTTCTAGAAGTCTTGCCAACTTGTGTATCCTCAAAGAAGAGGCTAGTGTTTTTTTTTTTTTTCTTTTTAGTCCTGGATTAACCTAATCGAATTTTCTGAATCTGCTGTTTCTATGAGCAATTTCAACACTTCAGAGTGTTTTGTTCACAGCAAACAGAAAATGAATATGCAAATTAAATAATAGAAATATTTAATTTCTCATGTAACTAGATGTTTAAGATAGTTGATTCTGGACATACTAGGCCTAGCAAACCAGAGGACTTGGATAGGAATAATCTAATATGTGGGAGGAGTAGCTTATCACTGTCATTGCTTGTAATTATTTGTATAGGATAATAATAAAAGGTGGATCAATATTTAGTGTATTGTATTATTGTTTTAAAATTCTCGAGAGACTATGAACTCTACTATTTCTTATACATCCTGACCTTTGGATGCTTTTGTTAGTAGTGTTTTGAGGTTATTCATGACCAAATTAAGCACTTCTAGATTCTTTTGGCCTTCCCTCATGGTTGGATCTCAAACTGTAAAACCTCAAAGCATTAGACAATGCCACTTAAAGCAGGAAGGCAAGGTGACTTGTTGTCTTTAATTTATCAAAGAAGAAATCTTTCCTGGATGCTTTCTATCAGTCTTTTTCTTACTTGTCAGTCAGAACATAGTTCTATACCATCTCTTGGATCAATAACTGGCAAATGGAAACAGGGATTTTCATATTGAGCTTAGGTACTGATAAATGATGTCAGTGGGCACCAGAAAGAGTGGTAGGTAGTCCAAATTTCTTGCACTTGCTGATTTCTGTGGTGTAAATACAGCTATATTGGCAGACTGCAAGCTACCAGTGTTATATCACTGGACTCTGAATTGGGGAGAGATGCATGAAATACAGCTCTTGTGAATTGGTGTATATATAGTTTATCAGACCAGTGCTTATATCAGTTAAAATTTAACCTTTATAACCAGTCACTTACTATAGAAATGTTTTATCAGCAGAAAAGAAGGGGAAATTTGACTGGAGAACAGAATATATTTACCCCAAACTCTAAGAAGTACCCTTTGCTTTCTCAGATTTTTTTGCCTTCAGAAGTTTACCTTGTATTAGATTTGCATGAGCTCTAGTGACGCTTCTTGTTACATCTAAATTTTTATCATAATTTTTATGCATCTGTTCTCAGAGATAATTGCATCTTCTCTTAAAATCCTCCCAGTGGAATACATAAGAATTAATTTAGGCTAAAAGCTCTAGGTCCAAGATAATAGATCAATCAATGGTTGGGTTACCTTTTTGTATAGCTGTCTAATCATAGTTCAAATAGATGTGATGGGAACTGTTATAATCTGGCACTTCTATATGTGGCATATGTGTCTTAGAAAAAGGTGTGGATATGATTAACAATGAACAACTTCTCAGCTACTACTTTGTAATTCTCTTTTGGAATATATTGTTTATATTCACATACTTCTGGTTTCTGTGTTTGCCAGATAGGACAAAACTGACAAGTTAGTTCATAGAGTATCTGAATTGTGATTTACCTAGAGAATATTATATTTTCAAAATGTAAACATTTCATCTTTCTCTTGAACTTTTTTTCAGTAGTTGATAGCAATTCTCAATTTTTTTAATTATTTTTATAAGAATAAAGAATATAGGTTATGAAAGTATTTCCACTGAGTCAGTTGTAAAATATTTTCAGAACATCAACTCATTACATTAAAATATAAACTATAATTACAACTTAATATCAGTGAGAATGGATTATTGGACTTTTATAGTCCTATTTTGTTGTCATTAGATATACATCGCATGCGGTAAAATTTTTACCTTATATTTAGAGTGATTAGATTTGCCATTATTAACTAGCTCCTTTTGAAATACCATTAATTATTTTAAAGCTGTATGTTTATGTAGTCACCAAATTCATCATTATATAGAAGTTAAGATACTATTTTTCAGAAGCTATATTTAAGTTATTTTGTCTCTTGCCATACATAGGAAATTCCACACAGTGAAAATCATAAGGAAGGTAGACACCTCTCCAATACATTATATATTTTAAATTTTTATGTATAAAAATAAAATGGAACAGTGGACCAAAAACCCATTTCCAAAAGAAAAGATGTTTGGAAAACTAAGTTTTCTTTTGTGGTTCTTTTAGATTAATGTTATTCATGCAATACTATTAGTTTCATTTTGCATGTAATTAGAAAAAAAATTCTTCAAAATGCATTTGTTCATAAACATTTTGTTCATCGTTAATTGAGGATTTATCCCCATACCACTCTGTATGCCTTTTGTCATTCTCTGAAAATATGTATAACAAACATCTGTAAGAAAATGACTGTTCTGAACACATTTGAACACACCAGGGTCTGTCTTATGTATAGGCAGACATGAACCTATGTCATGAAGTTTAAAAAGCTCTGTCTTTTCAACTTGTGGTGTCTGAAATCTCTAGTATTATTTATTCACTTGGGAGTATAAAACATTCAAGATCTCTGTTTAAGATGCAAATTTGAAAGAGGAAACATATTAACACTTGCACCAGCCTTTTGAACTATTTCATAATTGATTCATAATGAACTATAATCTCAAGAGACTGAATTTTGAAATAAACTTTCATAGAGGAAGGATTACCTTAATCATAAAAATGATTTAACAATTACTAAGAACTGATTAAATGTGAATATTCTTGAAGATATGCACTATCTCTCACTTATTCCTTCCTTCTTTCATTAAATATGTATTGCGTATTTTTAAGTGCTAAACCTACATAAGGTACTGGTGATTGCATAATGAGTAAAAATTAGAAGAGATAACTCTAAAAGAATTCCCATAACGGGGATTGTTGGAGAAAAGACACCACACAGGAAAGGGAGAACACCACTGACAACAGTTTCTAACTTTTTAAAAGAGAACTTGATTTTAATTTTTTTAATTGCAGTTTATATTGAAATGCCTCCATCAGGTATTAATACCATAGTGCACCCCCCACCAATTCATCCATATCTACCACCATAGTCCATTGTACTTTCTTCCCTGTTCTTACAGCCCCTCCCCACCTTCTCATTTCAGTATATAGTCAGCTATCATGTGCTAGTTTTTAACCTTGTCTTTATCTGACTCTTAGTTTAGTTGCTTTATATTTCACATATTAGTGACACTATCTGGTATTTTATCTTTTTCCTTCTAACTTATTTCATTTAGTATTATCCCTTCAAGTTCTATCAATGTTGGTGCAAATGGCATGAGTTTATCTATTTTGATCACTGAATAACTTTCCATTGTGTATATATACCACATCTTCTTGATCCATTCATCTGATTTGGGTACTTTGGCAGCTTCCATAATTTAGCTATAGTGAATAACACTTCAATAAACATGGGAATACAAGTGCCTTTTCAAATTAGTGGTTTTGAAATTTTAAGGTTGATGCCTAGGAGTGGAATTTACTGGGTTGAATGGCAAATCCATTTTAATGTTTTGAGACACATCCATACTGCTTTCAATAAAGGTTAGGCCAGTGCATTCCCACCAGCAGTGTAGAAGATTTCTCATTTCTTCACAACCTCACCAGAACTTGTTTCTGGTCTTTTTGGTATTGACCATTATCATATGTGTGAGATGGTATCTTACTGTGGTCTTGATTTTCATTTTTCTAATAATAAGTGATGGTGAACACTTTTTTGGTACATATTTTCCATTTGAATGTTTTCTTTGGAGAAGTGTCTGTGTATTTCTGTTGCCCTTTTTTGACTAGGTTGCTTAGTTTGTATAGAGTTTTATGAGTTCCTTTGTATCTTTCATATCAGTCCTTTGTCAGAGGTATTACAATATTTTCTCTCATTCAGTAAGGTGAATTTTTGTTTTAGATATGTTTTCCTTCACTGTACAATTTTTTTTTTTAGTTTGATGTAGTCCTATTGTTTATGTTCACCTTTGTTTCCCTTGTTGTTGGCAAAAAATCTCTAAAGGCATCACTAAATCTTATGTCATGAAATATTTTGCCTATATTTTCTTCTATGTATTTTATGGTTTTGGGTTTTATATCCAAGTCTTTTATCCATTTTCACATTGATGTTTTGTGTACAGTGTGAGATAGTGGTCTAGTTTCATTCTTCTTCAGAT